ATCCTTCATTATCTACGCCCACATCTATAGGGGTCAATCTTATATATTTTCTGGAAGAGAAAAAACAAGGAGAGAACACCGTCATTTTGCACATCTGGAACTTATTCTCCTGCGTGTCTTTCCTGCGTCGTCACTTGCCTTCTTTGCAACAATGAGAATTTCGGAGCATCTCTACCTAAGGTATTGAACGTGCTGGGAAAATGGATAGCAAAAACGCTTTACGCGGTGGGCGGGCAAGGGAAGAGGGAAAATAAGAATTCCCTGACGGCACAGGCAAGTTACCCTACCTCTCCCCTGCCGGATATTTCTTTCTCTGACAGTCTGACAAGCGGAGAATTTTCATTCCGCGTGCGCGTATAGCTCAAGGTAATGTTCCTCTCTGCGGCACACCGGCTACTCTTTCGCGATACATTAAATTTTAATTTGTCATTCAGTTCCTTTTCCCCTTTCTTCTCTCCTCAGTCGGTTTCGCGCGATGACTCTCTTACAACGACACGGAGTCTATTATTCGTCAACCGCGACGTATCGGTGAAAACCGACGACAATATCGTGGTTCTTGTCTGAAGCTTCCGGTTCATCGACCAGACACAAAAATGTCCGACCAATATATTATGTCCTTCTTCATTTCGTTTTTAATACATCTCTTCTTTCCGTGGCAATTGTTTCGTGAAAATACTTATCGGCGTCGATCGATCTAGTGCATGATGAGAATTTCATAATTAGAAATTTATATAGATAATAGATATATAGTTACATAATGGAGATTTTACGACGCGCCTTTTTCAATAGTGACGTTTTCTTATCGAATATCGAGCTCGCGAATAAATTTCGGGAAAGGTTTTTAGAGAGATGCATTTTAAGCATAAATAACATAGAATTAAAGTTATACGAAAATTATTTTATATCATATAGAATATACATGTATATATGTATAAATCATATATTAGTATAAGATATCAAGGTAACATTATTTATTTATTGTTAACATTTAGAATATATCCACTGAAAAAAAAAATTGTTAATTTGACTAAATCCGTTCAACTAATTACCATTTTTTTAATTGAAATATTTATATATTTAAGTCAAATACGACATATTAAATCTAACATGACGTATATTTGACTTAAATATATAAATATTTTAATTTAAAAAATGGTAATTAGTTAAACGGATTTAGTCAAGTTAACAATTTTTTTTTTTCAGTGTTCTTATACCAATCTTATACCATTTCTTTTCCTGACCAATGATTATTTCCCAATGCAACGTGTAGATCTTATGTCAAAGTTTATCGCGCGAGACCAGCATATTTCCTCGAACTCCATCGGCACACTTGTTGCTCAAATAGTGGATACCGGGAGAAACATATCGCTGCTACCCGCGTGTTTCCTATGCGAATCTCACTTTTCCGTTAAGCTGATTTCCATGTTTCGCACTCGCAATGCGAAGCTGTCGTTAGATGCCGTGCTTAAAGTAAAAACGCTTGTAAAACTTCCTCATGCGATTTAAGGATCACACAGATTGGAAAGTTTCTACTCTCAGCTTTTCAGCTTACTGTGCGAGATGCACATGCTCTTTGAGAAAAATAGTAAAATTTCTTAACCACACTCTTTAAAACTACACGATGTACTACACGGACCTCGGAAATGGGATTTAAAAGTAACTCTTCAAAGAAGCAAGAAAGATATAGTCTCTTCAAGTTAAAACGAAAAATGCGCCTTTAATGACACGTCCTTTGACGAATTTGCGCTTGACTTCTCGTTCGCAAAAATTTAATGGCAAACTAACTGCAACTTTAATGCTCAAAGTTAAATATCTTCGTGATTACGAGAAAAACAGAGATACCATATATATATATACTTATATTTTTAAAAATTATTAAACCACTAGTCTTTGGAATATTTTTCTTTCATCTTATTCAAATCATGAATCGTGTGACAATCATATAACAATATATTATAATTTATGATAATAGCTATATATCTTGAAACTAGAGCAACAGAAAAATTCAAATTTAAATAATCCGTTGATAAAATTTTATCCTCACGAATACAAACGCATATTAAATGTAATGATTTTAATAATTCAACACAAGTCGTAATAATGAATTCTAGAAGCAGAATCACCAAGTTAATGAATTAAAATCTCATCCGTAAGGAGATGTAAGAGTCGGAATAATCTTACCTACACACTGATTTCTTATACAGATAACACAAGTCGACAAAGCAACATTATTCGTACGCTATAATCCATGAAGTTTCCTGATACAAGAGATTGCTGGACAAGCGGCATTGTTAAAATGCGAATGAATGCAGATATATCAAATTATATTCGTGACCTCGAATAAAGATGAACGCATCACACGATTAAATCGTGTAAACGTGATATGCCGACGTGAGTCAATATTAATTAGCATCCCTCAAACATCCTCGCTGAAATTCGTCAAATGCTCTAGTTCAGATCACGCGTCCTAAATATGGTGTAAGTAGTGTGCTCCATTATTTACCTAAAGCCCGAATTGCACGTATGTTAACTTGATATGTGGGCTAAAGTATTTAAGTAACATTACCAGGGGATTACATCGCCAACTATCGATTTTCTGAAAATGTCATACTTAAGACTTAAGAGAGAAACGGAGTTTCCACGCGATGTTTACGCTCTTATCTTATCAATACCCCGTGCATGTAACACGTATTCGCGAAACGCTTAACTAAAGAATTTTCTAAGATAAGAATAATGTTACTTTGTCGACTTGTGTTACCATGTGTAAGAAATCAATGTAAGTAAGACTATCCCGATTTTTACATCTCCTTATGAATGACATTTTAATTCATTAACTTGGTGATTTTGCTGCTAGAATTTGCATTATTACGATCTATGTTGAATTATTAAGATACCTCAATCATTTCATTCATGCTTGTATTCATCATGATAAAATTTTATCAATGGATTATTTAAATGTGAATTTTTCTATTGCTCAAATTTCAAGAGATATAATAATAGATATTATAATATATTAATTTTAAATATAAAAATACAAATATTAAATTCATATTACTTTTGACAAAAATAGATTAGATTATATGTGACAATATTGCCTTTTGATTTCATGAATAATGAAACTTCAATATCACGTAAAAATATATCCTGAAAAAATCATTTAAAGTAATTTTATTTGATTTCTTGTAAATATGCGTTATGTGTGTCTAGTTAATGTAGTAAATTATGCCTACATTATTTTATAACTATGGTTTGTTTTTTAAATATAGGAAATTCGAAATAAAAGGGTAAGACATATTTTCATAATGTTGTATAATATACATTCATATATCATATATATATTTTAATTATTATAAATATGAATTATAATTAAATAATAGCTTGACACATATACCCCATCTAGTGGTCTAATGTACCACTACTGTGACATTATGTTAATTTATTATTTGTACTCTTAGTCATCAGGAATATTCTCTAGTCCCTGTGAAAGAGTAATTATAAACATGAATATATATACTCACATTTATAAGTTCTCTCAAGTTAATGATATACACAGACTATATGTTATCTTATATAAATATATTAATTGACAAATTACCCTGTTTTTCCATGGAGCTCCATCAATGCGACTATCTCTCGTAAACATATTGCGATCCCATACGTTTCTCATATCCCTACGCATTGGCTGGAAAGAGGAAACCAGAGAAGTACTATTACAATTTCATTCAGATCTATTTGATATTGTATGTACTGTTTTCTGACATAATTTTTCGGATGTTTAATTTGTTCAAGTAATGTCAAAGTAAAAGATAGCAAAGTATTTGCATGAAGGGAACACAATAATAAAATTGGAATTATGTTCTATTGTCTAATTAGTTCCAAGTCAAAACAAGGAATAATTACACACATAATTTTCTATTCGGCTAAGGCATATCGAGTTCACTATTCGAATTTCTCAAATTCTATAAACTAAATATTACTATTAGTTAAATATGTATCTTAAGCATAAGATTTGTTCCTTTTTTTTCATATAATATTCGAATTCGAAAAAGTTACCTTGCATCTAGATACATATATATATACGTATGTTACCATTAGATTATATTATTCCCCCAATTTCCTTATGAAATAAATTCGCACGTTGAAAGGTTATGTTATGTAAAACTCAAAAACTTACATTTCCCAAGAAATACTGATTTATGTAATATGCTGCAAGTTGAGGTACAACAGGTACTAAACCTACAATAACCATCGATGGAAGTATTTCGTACCACATTTTTCTAAAATTTTTACAATCTGACAGAAGCGTATGAAATTTCTCCCTTTCGTAAAGAATCAAGGTGATATATAACCTAACCTGTGTCTACGCGCAGACACATTTATACAGATGACATGTATAGAAAGAAAGAAACGGAAGAGAGAGATGCATACAAGATATCAAAACTTTTTTCTCAGAGTCAAAAAAAGATAATGTGCGGAATTTCTTTTTATTTAAAATATAATATTAATGAGATAACTCCCTTGCTAAAAATAAAATTATAAGTATTCTTCCAGTACTTTATATATATAGTTTTCTGCTTTTTTTATTTTCCTTACATCTTTTTACGATATTTTTATATATCCAAAATGAAACATAAACATATATCTCAAATTTTGGAAAGAAATTCACACAAAGAAAAGCAAAACTCTGTAAAAATATTTAGAAAATGTGAATAGATTCTTGTATAAATTATAAAATCCATATCGTAAAATTTTTTTCATCATACTCTTTCAAATTGTGTGTTGTGGCCTTCGCCTTTTCTCAAATACACCAATACTGTGCGTTTTACTGCGATTTTTGTTTCGAATATTTTTATGCCGTACAAAACGATAAGCAACAATAGATGTAATATTTTCATGTCTGGTAATGCGACTTTATTAAAATATCAAATATTTGCACTTACCAAAATTAACGCATATTGGATGAATCAAATCAAAAATCAAATGATGCCACATATAGAATGAGAATTTATGCAACAAAAAGTACTTTATTATTTTCACTTGGTCTTTGAAAAAAATTATACATGTTTTATAGAAAAAAAATTCTATATTATTTTCATATAATATTATCATGTTATATTTAATTATATTTTATGTACATTTTCGTGGTGCACAAATACAAAAGTCACAACTTCAAAGTATATTTTTTACAAAGATGTAATATATACATATATTGTATAATGTTGAGACTGATTTGTAAATTTTAATTTTCATGTATACGCAATACTATGCAACAAATCAATTATATTAAACTGCTGTATACTTTGTATTATTTTGGTGTTTGAATTAATGATTATATTATTTATAATGATCATAATGCAATAGTAATTTTTAAACAGATTTGCATTACTATATAATAATTGCTTAACTTGCAATATCATGCAAAGCAAACAAATGATTAAAATAGTCGCTCGCTTAATTAGATAACTCTCTTTTGGAAAAAAAATTTCTGCTAAGCCCAATAATTGAGGATATGTATTCCAATCTTGTTTGTTTTCACAAACATTTTACTTTATATACATATATTTGCAGATACGCATATATATATGCATATCTGAGAGAGAGATATATAATCAAGCATCGCGACCCAAGTATATAGATTATATAATATAAAATATACATACATTCAATATAGAGACATATATCGTATTTTTTGGCTAATTTACGATTTTTATATTCTACATGATAAATTAGAATTATAATTATCCAATTTAAAATTACTTATTAATATTTTGTTTCCTCAGCTTTATGCTTTATTCCTTTGTGACTACGAATATTGAGCGTTTGCATATAATATCGAAGCTTTGAAATAAAAAAATATATATGAATTACGAATAGCTGCTCATGAGTTGCTTAATGATCGATTCTAATACTGGATACATTCTCTCCTTCGATTGTAGATTATTTCTTCTACACGCTGGTTATATGAAAAAGCTGCTTCCAGTTTGTATAGAGTTCAGTGGTTAGCAATAGAAATAGACGACAACCAGTATAAGATTTTTTTAGATTTTTTTCAGATATAAATATATTTTTGATATGTCATCTAATTATAAAGTTAAAATATTAAAAATATATGGAAATGTTCACAATTCTAAATGTTACACTATATAAAAGAACATGCTATGAATGTGCAGATGTCATTGTTGAACATTTGTTGATATTTTTCATTCTTTAGATATATAAATATATTTTTGATATCGCATCTAATTATAAAGTTGCAAAAAAGTAATTGAATACAAAATATGTTTTATAATGTCAATGAAGAATAACCTTTTGTCTCTTTTAATTCAAGCTTTTTGTTTAGGTGAAGCTTTGTGCTCTATAATCCAGGGATGTTTCTTAACTTCAGCCATAGAAATACGCTCTGTACTTTTTTTTTTGATTAGCTATAAAGATAAATTTATAAGTTAAATATATATTTTTATTATATATATTATAACATAAAAATATGAAACATAAATGCCACCTTAGATATAAGGTCTTTGGCTCCAGGTTTGATTTCAACCGGCCATTTTATATGTATGGTTTTTATCTTGGCATATGTTTCTTGTGTAGAACCACTTAAAAAAGGCGGCTGTCCTGTGAGAAATTCATAACAGAGAATTCCCAAACACCAATGATCAACATAGATGTCATAGGTCTGTCCCATCACCATTTCTGGTGGCAGATAATCTAAGGTTCCACACAATGTATTCCGTCTGAAAGAATAGAATTTTAATATTAAATTGGCTCTCTAAATCTGAACAAAATCAACTCTTTCAATATTATCAAATAAATAATCTCTTTGAAACTATAACAAAGCATATTGTGCACAAACTATTAGCTACTAAATTAATGAAAACGTGAGTTTCAGGCTTACTTTGAGGATGGTGCATGCACAGACCATCCAAAGTCTGCGAGTTTTATATCTCCATCATATGTGAGCAATAAATTTTCAGGCTTTATGTCTCTATGAATCACATTGTTTTTGTGACAATATTCCAAAGCATCGGCCACTTGATAAGTATATTTAGCAGATCTGACAAAATATTTGAAGCATAAGTAGCTTGTAGAAATTATATATACAACAATAAGAATAGAACTGTAAATGCATACAAGTGCTCGTTAAATCTCTCATCTGGCTGACGTTTTAACTCCTTATACAATTCACCTCTTGCGGCAAATTCCAAAACTAAATAGATTCTTTTAGCATCATGAAAGTATGTTAATAACTGAAGGATATGTGGATGTCTGTAATAGTATATACAAATAAATGCTCATCTAAAAAAATATTTATATAAACATGTCTTAGAATGTGATGTACATACTTTAAATGTGTCTGTATTTCAATTTCTCGCATTACTTGCTTCTCCACACGTCCTTTTACCAATTCAACTTTATACAATGTTTTTAAGGCAACCATATAATGAGTAGTCTTTTCTCTAGCTAGATACACACGACCGAATTTTCCTCTTCCTAAAGGTGCTCCAATTTCAAAATCTTCTAAGCTCCATTGGTAGCTATTTAATAATATAAACAAACTGTGTAAATATTTAGAAAACTATTTATCTGATAATAACATGTTTTATGAACTTTCTATCTTATACAAAGAGTTACTCGGACAAAGTTTGAAGTCTAGCAATAAAAGATATTAATTTGGGTATTAATTTATAATCAATTTAAGAATCCTCTATTAATATTGAGTACATAATAAAGCTATTTGCTTATATGCTTAATAAAGCTTATACTATTTAAGTATTCTTGTATAATATTGCGATTTTAATATAGCAACATATTTTTATATACTTTCTGCCCCTGTTTTTAACATGATCCAACATCTTACGACTTGCTTCTTCAATAGCTTCTTTATATCCAGATATGGTTAATGGCATTTTGAATGCCTGTCCACTTTCCATTGTGTGAATAATATATTGTACAATATCTATATGTTACTGAAAAAAAATGTGTGATGTAATATATGTATAAAGTCCGTCTACTCTTATTCTTTCTCTATTAATATTAATTGTGTAATATTATTTATGAAAAAACAGACAATTGCATAAATAATACAATATTTTTAAAATATAATTTATGATAAATTAACGAATCTATTATTGTCATTTTTTTCATAGACATTCTCTTTGAAAAATAGAAAATTTCCCATGCACTTGCCGATATTTATTAAAGATTCATGAAAAATTCATAATAATGTTATTATTTACTCACAATGCTGTTTTGAAACGCGATAAATACGTTCAATTCATATCAATCATATATGTCTCATGTGTTTGTCTGTAACTGACATTCTTTTCCCTCGCATTTGAATCTTAAATTTAACGTCATAGATAAGCGACATCTGCATTCAATGGATACAACTAACAATAAGCTGATCGATTGTCCAAAAGCGATGGAATCTGATTGATGGATTTATGCAAGTAACTAGTAACCAGAGAATCGACTTTTAGTCAATAGTTGGAATAGGCTCCCTCCGTCTATGTATTGTATATGTCTATGGTTTTTATTTTACGCATATCTGTACGCATTAGGGCCTCAGCACAATAAAAGGAATAAGGAACAGGGAATGCGGTTGTTCTCTGTTCTTTATTCCTTGTTCCTTATTCCTTTTATTGTGCTGAGGCCCTTACGCATATCTGCCATTAAAAAAGAGTGGAAATTGAGAGGCTATTCCAAAAGTATACGCGAGAGCTCGCGGTGTTTAATTTCGGAGTAGAAGAATTCGACTATATACAATTTTGGATAAATCCTAAGAAATGATATAGTAACTATAATCTAAATTGCGCTTGTTCAAAAGACTAATAAAAGAAGCATCCTATAATCGCTTTCTTCTCTCTCTTTTTCTCTCTTTATATTTTATTATATATATTTATATTCTTTATCTGCTATTTTATGCATTGTCTATTTCTTCATTAATCATATCTAAAAATATTCTTTTAAACAAAAATATATCTTTAGAAAATATATTAAATATACAAAACAAAATATATATGTTATGGGTGTGATATGGTATATATATGATGTCGGATGTACATTTAACGGTTAGTAACTATTATTTATATTTTCAATTTTCAGATGGAAATAAATTCATCAAAATCATTTATTAATCAAAAGATATGTTAATCATTTTGATGTTGGCTACGCATCATGATAGAAAAATGCATTTGATATTGAACAAGATGTGTGTCATTTCAATTTATTACGATAAAATCAGAAGAAAAGCCGTAATTCGCCGGTAATTTAGTTTTATTTAATTTAATTACGCTTGATTGCATTTAACATAGATATATATTAAAACGTTTATTTAAGAGTGGATAGAAAATAAAACATGTAAAAAATGCAAAATAAACAGGCAGTAGAATGTAACAATATAAATCATAAGCTGCCGCTTATTATTTTTTAATTTACGCACTAGTCGGATTAATATTATTATATTGCACCGTAATTTTATAGACTTTCCTTATAGTAATCTACTTACAAAATTTCATAAAATTAAACGATTTTAATTAGATAAAGAATTGATATATATTTATAATTTATATTAATTTTTTATCCGATATAATTGATTTCGATCTTTATTCAAGTTTTACTAAAACTCGAGTTAGTCAGAGATTAATTTGGTTGAGAAAAACTTGGATATATATATATATATAAAGATCGAAACTAGAAAATATTTCCTCAAGTATTACTAATTTGAAAATAGTAATTAATCATAAAGTGACTACTATGTTGGATTTAACAGTATTTTTTCGAATAATATATCTTACATACGGTTTGAATATATTTCAATGAAAATGTGAAATTTTTATTTCTAATTTTCTAGTTTTCTCGGATTTTCAATGATCACGTAACGTTCGAAAGATGGAATCATAATATTTAATTAATATGTTATTTAATTAATATGTTATTTAATTAATATTTAATATATAATCGTTGCTAATTGATCCGTACCATATAAACGAATTTTACATTTTCGCGCCAAAGGCATCTTCGTTTCGCTTTCGTTAAAGAGAAGCTTCCTGATGTGAGAACCACTACCATTATTAACTGTCGGATATATCTCGTTGTAATCCGACAATTCGACAGTCTAGCCAATTGGTCCGTACAAGTAGATCTCTTATTCGGGCGTATTTAAATAATGCCAAATCTATATATTGAGTTGTAATCGTAAAGTCGGACCGAATCAAGATAATTTTTTTCGAGTAACACGATTTCGTAAGCAGAATAATCGAACGATAAATTCTCAGTCTTAATGAGACACGCAAACGCGATCGATTAGATAAGTCAATTTTAAGCCCAGCAATCTTATTAAAATTCGTCTATCCGATTAGAAGGGGCAGAACACGACGATCTATTTTGAGGAACGAGTGGCGATTCCGGGAATGAAAAGAGAAAAATACAACAACAAGGCACAATGATAATAGTGTTGGCTGCAGTGATTTTGACTCTTTTAGTTATGATCGTCATATTACGACAGAGATCGAATTATCCATCAAATTATCCACCAGGTAAATTATTCTTGCTCCCCTTTTGCTCCTCTAAGAGATGTACAGAAAGAACAGTAGATGCTGTTATATTTCTATTTTATTGGAATTATATTTTAATAGATTATAACATATTCTCTATACAGATTAAATGTCTAATTATAAATGAAATATTTACATCCTTCAATATTCTTAGTTATTTAATTTTTCGTATACAATACAAAATCTTATTCTTTTTCTTTAATCATAAAATAGAATTTAAAAAAGAGATAGAAAAAAGTCTTCTTCTTATTTAATTAATGAAGGCAACAATAAGTCGCATACATTTTAAACAATTTAATTATTTATTTATTATGATTGCCGACATTTATATATGCACATGAAGATAACATCAAAATAAAACAAAAAGGGTTAATGATAACATATTATCAATAGAGAGAAGATTGAATATATTGCGAAATAATAAATAAATGTATTTTCTAGAAAGTTATCGAAAATAATATATAGTTGGCCAGAATTCATGGTACAAGCAAAAAGGAGATGAATCTACGCCTCAAAATAAATCGAAATGATTGATTTTTTCCAATTAAAGCTTTGTTTTCGAGAAAAATGAATTTGAAAATCTATCGGGTACGCGTACTTGACTGAAATTCGACGAATTCGGTTTTATTGCAGACCGTTGTTATGTTTTCTTTTATTCATTAAATTATTATTAATTTCGGTCAAGTGTGTATGCTTATTCGACAGATTTTCAAACTTATTTTTCTCGAAAACGGAGCTTTAATTGAAGAAAAATTATTCAATCATTTCGATTTATTTTGAGGCATAGAATCACCTCCTTCTTGGTTGTACCACGAATTCTAGCCCACCCTATATTTAGTAACTATTCTGATGGAAAAACTGATGCAACATCATATTTTATTGCAATTTATACAAAATGCATTTTTTGTTCTGGTTATTAAACATTTATTCCTTTTAACCAAATTCTCTAAGCAAATCCTTTTGAGCAAATTATTGCATAAATTTGAGCATTTTATACATGTGCACTTGATTCTCAAACTTTAAGATAAAAATGACATATTGCTCGTCTTAGCGAATCAACAATTTAATGTAAATATCTGCAAATTAGATCGATCTGTTAAACTACGCAACTAATAGTGTTTTCGATTAAACGAATTTTGATCGATCCAAGTTTGATTAATAACGTCATTGCATCGTCTTTGCCAATAAAAAACTTAAATTCATAATAAAATAGTAATTAATTGATCCGAGATGGATCAAAATCCGTCCACTCAAAAACGCTATAAGATTTTAAAGAAGTTACTAGTTAATTTGCTTTTTTTTTTAAGCAGTCATTCATAACTGATTTTTTTATAACGTGTATTTTTTATATTAAAATGTTTTTTATTCATACTGTTTATTCTGTTAATGTTCTGTTTTCAAATGATCATCTGTAAATTATTCTTTTATTGTTTCTAAATACTTGGAAGCAGAACAAAAACTATAAGGACGCACAGCACGAATAAAAAACATATAGACGTATATGGACAAATATATACAGGGTGTCCCATTTTAAAAGTTCCACCCTCATAACTTTTCAGGATCAACGTTTGAAGGAAAACGACTCGGATAAAAGTTGTAGGGAACAAAGGGGGCTATCTAATAGTGACCTTGGATTTGACATTAAAGGTCATTTGAAGGTCATCTTCATTTTTTTTAATGGAACCCCCTATTTCTCATTACATATTCTTGTAGCTTACCTCGAGAGCTTTCCAAAACACTATAATAAAGTATTTTTTCATTACGTACTTTTTGATTTATTTTATATTTTAATCTGACATATTTTGATAGTTCTTTTATATCTTAATCTGACATATTTTGATATAAAAAATAAAATATCTCGTAAAATATTTAGTTTTCGATAATCTTATCGTAATATTTTTATGTACAGAATGATGAGACAAACCAACTAGTGTGAAAAAAATAATTATTTTTAAGAAAAAGTATGTAATTGGACATCCTGTATATTACAGTTTAACTTACATACATGTCACAATTTATTTATATACGCTAATGTTACAGTATGTACTTATATTTGAAAAACATAACATCTATAATATAAAGAAAACATAATCTTTGTATAATATACAATCCTATAGGGAGAGAAAGAAAATAATAAGCATAATCTTTGTATAATAAACGTAATATAAACGTAATCTTTGTATAATATATATTGTAATTCTATTAAAAGAGTAAAAAAGAGAAAAAGAAAGAACCATAAAAATAGAGTTCATTTTATTGATTGCATTTCCATTGGATACACATTTTTTTAAATTCTAAAATTATATCGATCTCAGCAATGTATCTTTACGAAGTAGAACATCTGTTTCATAATATTATATTTATTATGAAACAAATATTTTACTTCCTTAATAATTTAATATTATTTATTATCGTTATATATTATCTATCTATGTATATTATCGTTATATATCTATTATATATTTATTTATATTTATTATTATATAAGGAATCATTTTTTGCGTCACTACTTTGACAAATTTGAAAGCTTACATAAGCGTAAAATTGCGAGCTTGTTATGTGCCAAATAGACAAATATATAATGAGTTAAACAGATAACCTTTAGAATTAAGAAATAAGAATACTTTATTTACGAAAAGAGTGGAAATGTAATAAAGTGATATTGTGATTAAGCAGAGAGAGAGAGAGAGAGGGAGAGAGAGAGAGAGAGAGAGTGTGTGTGTGTGTGTGTGTGTGTGTGTGCGTGTGCGCGTGTATGTATGTGTGTGATTCAAGACTCTATGAATTTAATTGCGATATGATAAATTTGAAAAGAATCATTTTGCAATACGAAAGCCCAGCATAGTATAGCAATGCCAATAAGCAAAATATTGACAAATTATATTATACAAATAATACTCGTTAAAAATTTAATTTTTCTACGAATCATTATGATTTAACCCCGCGGAAAGTTTGAAAATATCAAATACTTTCGTAAACTAAGTATCTTAAATGAATTTTTATTTAAAACTATTTTTAAAACAAGAATGAAATTAGGCATTAAAGAAGAGATATTTTCATTGCGCAATGATAATTTTTATACCTATTTCTCATATCAAAAATTTTTAGGTCCCTTTCCATGGCCAGTTGTTGGGAACACATATTATTTTCAAAAATTGTCAAAAAGACTTGGCGGATCATATTTTGCCTTTCTAGAACTCAGCAAGCAATATAATAGCGATATCATCAGTCTACGATTAGGCACCAGCGACACGATTGTTGTTTCGAACTATAAACTTATACAAGAAATACTTAGCAAAAAAGAATATCAAGGACGTCCTTGGAATGAGTTCATAAAAATACGAAACATGGGAATGAAAAGAGGTAACGAATTCGTTTGGAGCACGCTATATTAAAATTTAGAATCTTAACAAAAATTTATTTTTTCATAATATAAAAACTTGTATGTACAATTTCATCATAGAGATAATCACTTTGCCATTTTAGTTTTTGAATTAAAATGAAGTTTTTTTCTTTTTTAAACTATTAACGGATAATTAAATTATTCACACATGTGCGTTCTCATTAGCTACTAGTTTTTAACATCTCTATTTATATCTTATATCTTCCCAAATATTTGATAATAGCAGCAATAGCCCAGGTAGCAAAAGTAGTCTTTTTGACGTCATTTTGACCTAATTTGACGTCAAAATAATGTCAAAATGACTACTTTTGCTACCTGTGAGGTTTAAAGTAAGAACAATCAAGTGGGAAATTGGCAGATAAGAGACACGGCACGGATATCTGCGCCTCTAGCTCTTATCTGCCATTCCCACTTGATTGTCCAAATATTTTAGATATATATAGATTAATTTTTATTTGAACTATTTTTTTAATATGACAAAGTCACCTAAAACGCAATGTATAAAATTCTCGTTTTATTTCTCGAGAAGTAAAAAAATAAAGATAAAACAATTCAATTCTCGGTGATATATGATGTTCTCTGAATATGAGAAATCTTTTAAATTGTTAAACGAATAAATCCGATTATATCCGGAAATTGTTAGTTGCCTAAGTTAAAAAAATTAAGATGATGAATCGATTGATGCTATCGATTAATTAAAATCACTGAGATTAGGGATCACGATGAATGATGGTCAAGATTGGAAAGAACTACGCTCTTGGTCGGTACGCATTCTAAAGAATGTTGTTTTCGCTAAACAAGAAGTGATGCAGCTCCTTTTGGATGAGCTGGCAGTTATCCTGGAGAAACTAAAAGACGGTGGCGTGCAAAATATACAAACCATAATTGCACCAACTGTAATAAACGTTCTTTGGGCCCTAACAACAGGAATGAAACTTTCTAAAGATCAGTCAAGGTACATGTAGCGTTGTCAGAACGATGTTCCTCGAGATGTTTTTCGTTTAGTTATTATCGTAAATTTATTTCCAGAAAGTTTGAATTTAAAATTATAATCGATTCTTTACTCTCTGTTTTCTGTTCTTTACTATTTTTCTTTCGTTAATTTAGTAGTATACTTTATTTTTGCATGATCATATATAAAAGCAAGAGAGTTGTGTTAGAAAACTGACAAAGGTGCTTGCAGATTACGGAAATTTTTAGACTTGATGAATCGTCGCTCACAAATTTTTGATATAACTGGTGGGATTTTGTCCACTTTTCCTTGGCTACGTTTCCTCGCTCCTGAGATTTCGGGATATAAAACCCTTCTCGAATTAAACAACAAACTTAAGAACTTATTAATGGTACGCAATTTTAATGGCTCTCAATTTTAGCGCGTTTGCTTTAGTTTACAAAATATATGCATTGCAATTCTTTCAAACATACAGGAAACTATTAACGAACACAAACAACAATATGTCAAAGGAAAAGAGAAAGATTTTATCGATGCGTTTCTCTACGAGATGTTCACACAACACGACAAGAATTCTGTGTTTTCAGGTACGAGTCCAATTGCTTATTGTTAATGACGTTCAGAGAGTAATGCAACAACCTCATTTTTCTTCAATATTTATTGTAAAAAAACTTTAAATATATTGTTGCATTATATAAATTCTTGATATTTATTTAAGTTTATTTTTCGATATAGTCCCATTTTAATTTTGCAACTTTATGCCATTGAAATACGCGAGCTTATATTGCTTTTATTACTCTGTGATTGTATTATTTTGCGCCTTAAATGCGAAAAATTGAAAACAAATTAGAGGTCTTATTCTAATATTTTTGTTCATAATAATAGTACTACTATTGATTGCCATGTTTCTCTCTCTATAAGCTTGATAAGCGTTCGTAAATCGAGCTGTGATTACGATTCATTTTCTATCGATAAAAGATTTTATTAATGCTTTCTGCACATGACTCAAAGATTTTATTTTTAAAAGGCTATTCACTTTCACTATCAGATAGCGAAAGATCTTGAAATTACTATACGCTTTACTTTTACCCGATAAAACGGTGAAGATAAATATCTTATATTATATCTTATACTATCAAGAAGATAAATATCTTATACTATTTTTTTTTAACATGCGATTTTTTATATTTTCTTTTAAGACGACAATCTCATTGTAACGTTGCTCGATTTTTTCATCGCTGGAACGAAGACCACGACAGCAACATTAGATTTTCTCTTTATGCAAATAGCCAATCATCAGGACGTGCAACACAAATTGCATGAAGAGATCGATGTCGTAATCGGCCCCAATAGACTTCCTACTTTAGAGGATAGAGTAAAGTAATAATATGTGACAAAACTTTTAATATATTTTTTATAAGCATCGAACAAATTTTTATTTCAAAATATTTTTAGCTTTTAATTTTCTCGTGTATTTTTTATTACTCAGCTCTTGAAAAAGCCCATTTAATTTTGAATTATTCATTATAAATTACTTATTTAATTTCAAATTACAGAATGCCTTTTACGGAGGCTGTATTTACCGAAAGTCAACGTATGTGGCTCGTTACACCTATAATTGGCCCACGCCGTGTTCTCGATAATACGACACTTGGAAATTACGCGATACCAAAGAATGTTACCGTTTTAATGAATGTATTTTATAATAATATGAATCCAGAATTATTTCCTAATCCGACTTTATTCAAGCCAGAAAGGCATTTGGATAAGCAGGGCGCTTATCGAATGGACCAAAATATAATACTATTCGGAAAAGGTAAATGATAGAGAAATAATAGTTATAGGGAAAAATTAAATATTGCAACATATTTTACAAGATTTGTCAACTATAATTATGTAATTATGAGTTCTATCTTGTTTTCCGATTGTTTAATAGAGCAAGAGAAGATCGTGAATGTTTTTTCCTTTGAAAAGAAATAGTGTTCTCTTAATTAATGTTTGTGCGAAATCGTTTGCATGATGAATAACTACAACATACTATAATTATGGTCAAATTGAAATCTAGGTATCGATTATTTCGTAATTTCTTTCCTAGGGCAGTAACGTGAAAAGTGAAAAATATTACCATTGAAATTAATGGCAAAATTGTTCACTTTTCATGTTTCCGCCCTAGGGGAAAAGTTACGTAATCGATACTCTGGCTGTGTTCCGATATTCACTGCCAGTCATAGACATAGATTGTGGTACGATATTCACTGCCAGTACAAAATATCTACAGTTTACGTCACGTACACAATACATTTTCAGTATTCTGTATTCTTAATATTTAAATGGCCGTAATGATCTGGGGTTGTCATGTATTCGGGCCAACAACAGGAAATATTACCATTGAAATTAATGGCAAAATTTTTTACCTTTCACGGTTTCGCCCTAGGGAAAAAGTTACATGATTGATATTCTAGTGCAGCAATTATTTATATAATTATAATATATTCTAAAAATTCTTCTCTTTTTTTTGTTAGGGAAAAGAAGATGTCCCGGTGAAGCATTGGCGAAAAGTGCTTTGTTCGTATTGTTTGTCGGTATAATGCAAAAGTATTGTTTACTTCCAGTACCAGGTGAAAAATCCATCAAAATAGAACTTACCAATGGATTGATAAACGTACCAAAGCCTTACCAAGTATTAGTTGTTCCAAGATAATATGATAAATATATAATATGAATGATATATTCAAATTTGTATCATAAATGTTAATTATGTATTCTACTTAAAAGAATTAATTATGTATTCTACCTAAAAGAATTTGTTTCGAATAAATTTTATCTTGTTTAATAAGTATAAAAATGGTTGTAGATGACATATTAAATATGAATTTTATCAAAAACTTTGATACAATGACCACTTTTTTCAAATATCTCTCTCTATAAGCTTATAAAGAATCTATAGCATGTTATACAAAGATAGAAATATCAGGTGTAATCTGTTGTTTTGACACTCTCAAATATAAAGCCTATTAGATCATAAGAGATAATAGACTTATTCTTCCTTCGATGCGACCGATAAAAAAACTGTTTAAAATTGTTACACGTGAACATTTCGCTCGTGTTTTTCTTGTTTGTTTTCTGCTCGCTCATTCGCGGATATTATACCTTCATATTCGCAAGTACTTCAGCTTTTTTTTTAAATGTATATGAGATATAATAAAAATATTTAATACACTATTAAGTTTTTTTCTATTTTTAGAATTCTTCCAAAAAAGGCTTTCATGTTGATTTGTTAGAGACAGTTTTGTTGGAGTTGATGTTACACATAAGTATGCAATATCCTATACATAAAAATATCTTATACCTAATGTACATGTGCAAATGAAATAATTAAGTATTTCCAGGGAATAATAGTAGAGTTTCACTTTTGAACAGATTATTATTATTATTCTTGAAATTCTTACTAGATATTGTTTCTCACAAGAAATTTCTAATTTTTTTACCCATGTTTTTTTAAACATTTATTTAAAACTGTTTTGTATGTATAATAATGTTTTATATTCATTTATTCCTTAACATAAAAAATATAATAGATGCACAGACATGCAACAGATATGTGAGAATTTTTTTATATAATAAAAAATATTTTATTGTTTTTTACACAATGCGAATTATATACGCTGTCATGAAAAAAATTGTTTACTTAAATTATTTTTATATGATTCTGTTATGTTAAATTCCATGATTAAATTCATTTATGTTTTATGTATATTAAATTTTTTTGAGGACACAAGTATTATATAATTTCTAACATACATATATACATATATGTGCAATCTTTTGAAACTAATTTGCGATTAATTTAATTCTTATGCACAAGCAACATAGTAATATACAACGAATCAATTGTACCAAACTATAATATGAACAGGGTGTTATATTTTTATCTATTCCAATGAAATATTATTTTTGTAATAATCGCGATGCAAGAGTAATTTTCAAGCGAATTTATATTACTGTAAAATGGCTGTTTAAGTTGCGATGTCACGCGAGCGAACAAGTAATTAATCGAGAAATGTGTGTGTGAGTGTGTGTCGCGAGCTTCTAATTTTAGAAAATTAAAAATCTATAAGATAAAATTTCTGTCGCGTCAAATAATTGATGATTTAACTAATCTAATTTCCTATTCTCTAAAGCTTCATGTATATTTTATATGAAATATATCTGATAGATATATACATATAAATATATAATATAAATATTATATTTTAGCTAACTTACAACACTGATATTTCTTTCTCTGTATATACATAAGAATTATAGCGTAATGCAAATTAAGACATTAATCATAAATATAAAAAAGTTTCTAGAGATTTTAAGAAAATTGATATTTTTTTCAAATATATCAGAAATTATCAATAGCATAATTTATATATGAGAAGAGTCAGATAGCATCCATACGCTGTCACATTAAATATTAAAATGAATATATAGATGACAGTGATTTAAAATCAACGATATGTATAATATCAAATCAAAATGATAAAAAAAGAATATTAATAATCACTTAAATTGCTGCTATCTAGATCTTATTGTTTTATCTTAAAGTGTTTGCGATTTTACTCTTCTTACAGTCGAACATTTACTGCTAAATGTTAATTGAATAAAGTTTCAAACTCAAAATTATACTCAATGCCAAATGGGCCTATAAATAGGGATCATTGTCAATGCAATATGTAGCTGTCTTTCACATGGCTTACAGCAATGCAAAAAAAAATAAAATAAAAAATAATTTACTGTATGGATTACAGTGCAGATTCGTTAAATATTAGGATATTCGGTAGACGATGCTTCTGATCCTAATACTGGAATGACTTTATGCTAATCTAAACCGGGAGGAGCTGGTTCCGAAAGATCAATTTCCATTGTATCTGGTTTTTGATCATTCGAATAATCGTCAGGTGGTGCCTGAAAGAAATTGATGGAGGAGATATTTTTGGGTCTCCCCAATATCATGTTTATTTTAAAGAATTATATTATAAAGAGAGGGCTTAAAAAAATTGTTCCTTTATATACAGGCATCTTTACTCACAATATCAAACTCATCGTGCATGTCACAGGGCACTTTACCCTGTATGACATCCATTATCGATTGTGGAATGTGTGCTTTCTGGAAAAAAATAAATATTGTATCTTAATAGAATATTCTTCTTCTTCTTTTTCTTTATTAAATTCCCGAATTAATATGAAACATACATAAAACATACATAGAATATTAATACTATTCACACTAAAGCTTTGCTTATTATTATATTTAACATCATATTTAGAGTTTGAAATTTTATTTTAATTATATTTATTCATTCAATAAATTTAATTATGTTTAATATTAAATGTGTGGTAAAAATATGCTAAGGAAATTACCTGATTCTCGGCAAAAGCTTCAACATGGGCTAGCAAAGGAGCACGTAAATTACTGGCCATTCGGAGCGCCTCTGCCAATTGTGCCGGCGGTAATTGCAGAATAACGGCAAAACTTTGCGGTTGCGTGCGTTCGCAACATTTGACAAAGCCCTCCCATACTTTTGGCTGTTTCCACACTTGCTTCAGAATCAGACGCTGAAGTATGTTCATGACAAATCCGCTTAGCCTGGGATAAAGGGCCAAACTCTGTATAACTGTGCGCATCAGTAGTGTTGGCAGAGGTGTCATCTCCATAAGATGTTGCATTACAACCGCGACCGTTTCCTGCGTATATGCTTGTTTTTCAGCAAAGCAAAGAGAAGTTGCTATAAACAAGAGAAGATATATTCGTAAAGTTTATATATAGGCACAATTTTGTCCAAAATATAATATTCTCTTAAATAAACAAATGCTGCGCATAGAATGATTTACCTTTGATAACAGTTTTTAATTCAGCCTTGCTTGGATCTATATTATGTAAAGCTATTAATAATTCTGCAGGTGTAATAGGCGATGTATGCGGTACACCACTATCATTGTTATGTGTTCCAAGTAATCTATTAAATACCTTAAAAAAATATAGATATATTCATTAGTGATACTTTTTAAAATTATGCTTAAGAGATAGCAAATGAAAAATACTTGAAAGAAATTATTTACTTCTTTTACGACGATAGGATTCAATTTTATCAATTTTGGAAGTGCGGCGATCACTTCTTTTTTTGTGAGTCCATTTAGGACAGGTATTAAAAATCTGACGTCGGAGACTCTAGTCTGATATAACTCTCGTACCCTGGCTACTAACTCTGTACTTGGAGCAGCTACACATACAAACAACATCATGTAAAATACAAATAAAAAAATCTAACAAATATATTTTATCTATAAGTAGTGATAACATACATTTCTCTGTAAGAATATGTATAATTCTTGTGACTAAAGTTTCAGATCCTTTTGGACAATTTTCAACAAGTGCAAGCAGTTGTGGGCTACCCATACCTAAAGATCTTACTGGCCCCTCCACTAATCTTAATACAATACGTTTCACATCTGCTGCCATTGATGTATACACTCTCGCTAACCTATGATTAAGCATATAATTATGAGAATATACATATATATTCATATTCGTTTATTTTTACAGAGATATATACCATATATATATATGGCATATATCTTCCATATATATATGTACACATTTAATAATAATATAAAATATGCTTTAATTGCACTCACTCGTGAATAAGATCTTGATGTTCACTAAGAAGAGCAAGATATAAACCTAAACAAGCACGTGTAGTTGATTCAGTCCATTGGCTCTCAATTTGCGGTCTGCCTCTATCTTGCCCAAAAACAATTTCAGGTGGGTTATGAAGGCGTAAAAAGCCTAGATATAGAACTGCATATTCCTCAATCAATTTACTTAATTCTGGCCTGCTGTACAACTGACAGACTAATTGTATTGCAGCCTCCCGTATCTATTTGCATAATATATGTTTTATGTGATTTAATACTTTTTTTTGTACATATTATATACATATGTCATATAAGACGATTCAAAATCTTACTGTATTGTTTTCATGTCCGGTATGGCATAATAAGACATTTAAAAATACCAGTTGTTTTGTTGGCCTACGCACTACCATTTCTTTCAGAAGCTGCAATGGTGCAAGACCTCTAATTTCATCAGACGACACCATTTTTAAGGCTTCTACAGCATCTTCGGTTATTAGTGGTGCCTCCAGATATAATCTTTCGTTAAAAAAGAAAAAATATATATACATATATAGTATATATACATATAGTTTGTTTGCCAATTAGAGATTAATATAGATACTAGTATATACACATTTCTCTTTTTTTCCCCACACATTCTCACACTTTTATATATATAGATGAAGAAAAATTTAATATTACCTGGATAACAATGTATCGCGATCTTTACCCTGAACTAAATCGATAGCTGACACTAAGGTGCATAATAAAAAGTTGTATGCTTGATGTGGAGCTTCCTGTGGTTTTGTACACAATGTAGTTCGCCTCTGAAATCCTTGCAATAATGCATACTCTTCGTACAGCCAACCTAGTGCTAGATCTAATCGATTTCGCATATCATCGGTAATATATCGCAGTACAGCTTCCTTAATATAAGGATTAAAAGTAGCTGCCAGAGTAGTCAGAATTTTAGATCTGTAATATACAGCAGAAACAAATGAATTATTAAAGATGAACAATATTTCTATTATACATGAGAATCTGTGTGTTTATCACTATCCAAATTTATATTCTGTTATTACCTTATAGCGGCTACGCCACCGAGAACTGCAGTTTTTTCTGAAAGTAATATTCGATTGACTGCCATTAATAACATTCGCTCTTTAATTTCCTTTGAAAGTGGTTTTGTCACTTCAGTTAATTTTAATGCCTTCAAACGATTTCTAGCTTTTGCAAGAGATTTTTCATGAGCCTCCAATGATGCTTTCGCTTCTTTCTCCTTCTCGCGATCTTTTTCGCGTTTACGCTCACGCTTTGCCTCAGCTACACTAATAGTGGGATTCTTAATTAAATCTTCCATTACAGCATCTTCCTCCTTAGTATCTTTTTTGTGCTTTTTTGCTTTAGTTTGTTTGATTTGTACTGCTAACAGTTTAGCGATTGTTTGACGTTGTATATTAATATCAGTAGTTGCAGTAGGTTGATATTCCCTTTGGAAAATTGTTGTCATAGTATCTGGTACCCATGCCTATTCAATGCAGCCATTCAATAGAATAAAATACATTTTAATAGCTTTAACTATATATCAATTAACATATACAATTTGTAATACATACCATACTGTCCATCACTAAATCTGTTGCAATCTCTACACTAAGTCTTTCAGCAATAAAACTTTCAGAAAGTTCAATTAATTCTGGTAATTTAAATGAAGGAAGAAGACTTGAGGCCGCTTCTACTTCCTCGGATATTAGAGCCACATCAATCTTTGCTCGTTTTGCAACACTAGCAGCTGCTACTTCCTATGTAATAAAAATTCTTTAAAAATTATGCAAACACAATAAAAAAATGTCTCTTAAATAGAATCTCATATACCTGTTGACGCTTTTTTATTCGACGAACATCTTCTGGCTTTGGATAGGCCTTAATAATTTCCTGCTCTTTTGCTCCAAGTTGAGCTAATTGTTTAGCTATGGTTGAAGCATATTCTACACTAGCAGGATGTTTTATTAATCCAAGAAGCGTGAGTTTTAATTGTTTTTGTACACTAGTTACTTGAGAATCAGATAGCGTTGGTGGAAGATCATGTTGCAACCTCTGTAGAGCTGTGCATTACATCATTAAATTTTATGCAGAAAAGTTTTAAAAATTAGCATATATATATAATATAACATTTGGCATAAACTGTGGTCTCATTTTGGCAATTAATGCCAATGATCCCATGCATGTCATTAAATTGACGCTACTAACATGTGGAGATCCATGAAACTTAATCAACAAGTCCATAACATGATTGGCTTCTTCTTCTAATTTTCGTCTACGAGCTATTTTCAATGTTAGTGGAATATCTTCGAGAGAAAAGTCATCAGATTTCTTTGGACTGTCAGGATCTGGATATGTCTGTATTAGAATTACACCCTCAAGAAATTTTACAGCTTGTGTTCTTATTCTGAAATTTAAAACATTTTAACAATATTAGATCTAATGATAAAAATTATCTTCGTAATTATTTTTGATTATTTTACTCACCCATCGTTATCACTGTCAATCATATTTATGATTTGAACTTTCAGAGCACTTAGTTGAGTCCATGCCAACTCCATTTCTGGTGTAACGACAGTAGCGCTAGCAATCCATTTGAGAGCAGCTCTAAGAATTCTACCACTGGCTCTAAGTGCACGTTTAGCCACAGCCGATGTTTCATCTGATGCTAATGTAAGAAGTATTTGAACTATACGAGGAATTACCTCTGATTGTTTTATTCTAAAAAAAAAAAAAATTAATTATAATATATTATATATTACATAAATATTTCTTATAAATATTGTGCATGATAATAGATAATAGATAAATTTAATGATAATAACCCAGCTTCTTCGATAAATCCTGTAATAGTTTTCCTGACTTCAGCACTTCTATTTATCGAAAATTGAAGAACATCGTCCAAATAAAGCTCTAACAAATGTGGTTCTTTATTCAACAAAAATTCCTGTATTTTACATATATTTGCAACCTTAACTTCTTCAGAGGGGTTCATAGAAGCCTCATTTATCCATTCAACAATCTGCATAACAATACAATAAAATAAATTTAAAAATTATATATTGATTTGTTTCAATATAGAAGAAAAAATAATTCTACACACAATTACTATAAATTATTTTTGCAATAATCTACTAAACACTGTTTAAAGAAACTAATTTTAAAGCGATATAATAATAATAATCTCTATCCTCTCTAGTTTTAATATAGAAAACTACAAAATTGCTATTACATCATTAAAATATTTTGTTTTTACAGAGCATTATGCATTCGCAATATTAGCAACAATTTGTCATTGACATTTGCAAGTGACAGAACCAAAAATACATGTGTGCGAACGTAAATCTTTGATTTTGTGCATAATGTTTACATAAGATTTGCCATGTATTTGAACACAAGAGCACAAAAGCGGTTCTTTGCGTTTTCTCTCATTTACGCGAATGCATAACGCGAGAAACGTATCGAAGGAGACACGGCAAGATTGTCATTTCGCCGACAAAGTTTCGTCGATAGACTATAGGCGCGGATAACGAGACGCAAAATTTTGAGATGATAAAATCGCCACTAACCAAATCGCCCGATCCCTTTTCCGGCTCGGATCTTCTATGCAAACGTGGATCCATCGTTATTTACATACAAACAAGCGGCAATAAATCGCGGAATTTTAACACGGAATTATGCGCCAGCAGGCGCGAATTTCTCGGCCAACGTGTGTCGCATAAGTGTGTTCGACGTGACGACACGCGATTAATCGTTACGACAAATAAACGAGCCCTCCTCGCTCAATCGTATAATATTATGTAAATATCCGTCACGTAAATATCGTAAGTTTGAAGGTAATTTTAAACGACGGGTATTGTGCGATGTGCTAAAAGTTCGATCTCGTCGCCATCTTGGCATTTTGATCACCGTTCACGACCTTCATTACGATTCTCCTCCTCTTTTTGGCCATTTTGTAGGCGCAAGAATTTGAATGATCACGTAAGCGACAATACATTTTATACATTTTTCTTGCTAGGTATTTATATTATATACATACAAGAGACAATTTTTTTCGAGCATCTCAAAATTTTGTAATATTTGACAAACTACTTTTTCTAAAAAACAAAAAATGCGAAAATTACTTTTCCATTATTTTTCCCTTCTTCTATTATCTATATATGACTGATTAGATTTCTTTTTGAATTTGCCTGTTAGTGATTCATTATTTTTGTTAATTTTTCCCGTATAAACAGACAGAGAGTATATAAGAGAAAGAAAACATATAATAGATTGACATACATATAGGTCAATCAAAATGAAATATATATATAAATTAAGTGACGATAAAAAAGAGAAAAGGTTAGGTTCGAGAAAAAATAGAGTAAAAGAATAGATCTTAATCTAAATCTAAAACAATCGATATATAAGCTCAACACTTTGCAATTATGTATATATATACATATATATGTCGTGGATCCGCGCAATAATCATGACAACCTTTGGCTGCGGTCAGGAAGACGCTAAAGATGCTTGGAAGCATTGCATTAACCAATCAGAATAAAGAAATCTTCACTCTTTTTGCCCTGATTGGTCAATCAACACTTTGAAGCATTTCTAGCGACTTCCCGCCCGCAGCCATAAAACATATAATAATCAAGCATTTTTTTATTTCAGATCTGCGATTGGTTGACTTCTTTGTGCATACGCTTTATCGGCGATCTATGCAAATTTATGCGGGCAGGCCCTAATAAAATGGATAAAAATTTCGTGCACGCTTATCAGCCAACTTCAAAGACGTGGCCACATCTATGGCGCAGATGCATATATTCACGTGGCTGAAACTTCAAACTATTCAATATATAAGTTGAAAGAAACGCTCAATTTTGGCTGTTGAATTGTCGACATGACATCGAGTCAGGAGTCTGACTTTCGTGAAAAGGTCATCGGCGAGTCCTCATCGCCAACGGAACCCGATGTGTTGAAGATCCTATGCGTGGGACGCATCTGTCTCGACATCGTTCAAATGTGCGAGCAATTTCCTGCGGAGGATTCTACTCAAAGGTTAGTGTATCGTTGCATGGTCGCACGAAATTCGTTCGCGCCCGATTCAAATGAGTTTACCGTGCAAGCGCACAAAAATTTCATTGGTCACAGAGTGTGTGTGTGTCTGTGATACACGACTGCGTATAAATTTCATATCGGTCGTACGATATGATTATCAAATGATTTTTTTTTTCGAACTTTTTTTTTAAATAGGTATGTTTTTCAGCATTTTACGCGAGATAATTTCAATAAAATATATATAATGCACACGTGTCTTTTCAACGTAATGTTTCAATTATTTTTTATATCCATAAGAAATGAACGATGCGTATTACAAATTGACAATGAGAATGATAATAGGAAAGAATACTGAGAAAAATTATTTTATTATTTTTCTTCATATATATCTTCATATATATTTCTTCATATATATTTCTTCATAATACAAAAAATTTACTTGAATTTTTTTATCTAGAAGAAAAGGATAAGGACATCAAAGAAATAACGGTGACGAATTTAATGATTATACACAATATTTATAAATGTGAGATAAATTAGCTCTTTTTGTTGAACTTTGCAAGAATTTTTTTTTTTTTTAATGACGATAGTATTTTTTCGAGTATTATCTTTTATTTTATACAAATTAGCAACATTTATTTTCATGGAAGAAAGTTTTATGAAAGTTTTACTTTTTGTAATTTTTAATTTTTAGTTGTATTTACAAAAGTAATTTACATACATAAAGTTGTCATAGTCTTTTAATTTATGATTTGAATATATTTTTATTTCTTATTATTTTTATTAT